CTGCAGGAAGGAAAGGGAGGGAAGAACAGGGAGGGGAGAGGAGGCCCTACAGGAATTGGGGGCTGGGAGGCTGAGGAGCCCCCTTCATACTGTGGTCAGCAGTGAGCTGAAGGGCTCTCCTGACCAGAGGGGAGAAGTGGAAATGGCGGATCTCTGGGGTCAGGACAGGGTGCTCAGGAAGTGAGGTCCAGACCTTCTCCTCCTCGTCCACCTGAACAACCTGCAGCTTATGTTCCCACCTCACCTCTGTGCTGGCCCCCTCCCTGCACTTGGGCCTTGGGTGCAGGGTAATCTGCAGAGGATGCTGTGAGCGGGCTGTGGGAATGTGGGTCTGTCATTCCCACTCAGGTCCTCACCAGCTTTAATAAGTGGAATTGCCTGCTGCCTTCCTAGAGCACCATGGCTTGCTGTGGATCGAATACCTTGGGTACTACCACCTGCTCCAAAGCCCTGCACCCTGACAGCTTTAGCTCCCTTTTTCTTGTCAGCCACTGCATCGTGTTCATGCCACACTATCCAAGATTCACTGGGTCTGAGGGAAACCTCCTAGACCAGGAGAGGGAGGGGTATTAATACAATTTGAACACTTGCCCTGTGCCAAACAGAACCCGTGTGAGTCACTGAGGCAGAGATCCGACAGGGACCCTGCCCATGAAGAGCTCACACTGTGTAACCAGTGCGAACTTCACAGTAGATGTTAAATCAATGTTTGTCAAATGGGACTGGATTCAACATATTCATTCATTCATTTTCATTCAGTAAATGGCTGTTGACCACCTACTAGGTCAGGCACTCTGCCAAGCACTGGGAATAAAATAGCAAGCAAAATAGACAAAATTCCAGCCCTCATCGGTCATTCAAGTTTATTGGGAGAAAAACTGAAGGATTTAAATGCTGGATATGTGACTCCAGAAACTGTGGCCTTTCACCTGTGACATGTTGTTTCCCATGCCTAAACCGTCAAAGCCCAAGCTATTCCTGTACTGATCATCTGACTCCTCTACTTGAAAAATCTTGATGTCTGCTGTGTGCAGTACAAGCTCTCTGGCCTACCTCTTGAAACCCCTTTGGGTTTTCAGCTATACCAGGATAGCCTGCATGGTCACTTGCAGACCTTATTCATATTTATTCCATTTACCTAGAATGCCCTTTGTTGCATTCCTGCCTACTGAACTACTTAACCCTTCAAGACCTAACTTCTTTATGTCCTCTTTGAAAACTTGTTGCGTTTCCCATTGGCAACTTCCTTCTCTTTCACACACCTATTTATTAAGTGCCTAGGTACCATGGTAGAGCTTTCTGGCTTTGTTCACTTAGGTGAGGCTGTTGTGGGCTCTTTGCACTTCTTCTGTGCTAGTGTACCTAAAAAAAAAAAAGTTTTGTTGAACTGTAATTCATATACCATACAATTTATCCATTTAGAGTGTACCATTCAGTATTTCTTAGTATATTCCTGAGGTTGTGCACCCATCATCACCGTCTGAGTTTAGAACACTCTTGTGTCCCACTAAAAGAAACTCTATTAGCAGTCACTTCCCATTTTCCCAAAATGCACCAGCCCTAGCCAACCACTAATCTACTTTCAGTCTATAAATTTGCCTATTCTTGCATTCTGGGAATTTCTTATTTGTGGTCTTTTGTGACTGGCTTCTTTCACTTTGCATCATTTCCAAGGTTCATCCATGTTGTACCATGAATCAGCACTGCATTTCTTTTCATTACTGACTAATACTCCGTTGTATGGATATATCACATTTTATTTATCCATTTATCAGTTGGTGAACATTTGGATTGTTTCCACTTTTTGACTGTTAGGAATAATGCCGCTATGAATATTTGTGTACAAGTTCACTTTATTATTTTTGCATTTTTGGTGTTCTGTTTGTTTGTTTTACACCTGTCTTTCCAAGTAGATTGTGAGTTCTAAGAGTAAGGGTCACTCCTATACTGCTCATTGCTGTATCCCCACCACTTAGCCCATGGCTAGCACTCAGTAAATATCAGTGTATGAATACGTGCATGCTTTCTAATTCTCTTCCCTCTTGGGATGTAATAGCAAATTTCCCAAGCCACTCTGCCCCCTATATCTATATTCACATACCTGCCACCCATGCTGAGGCGTAAGTTCATTGTCAGTGTCCTGGACCATGCCCTTCTCATTCCACTGTTGGCCTCTCTGGTGTCAGTCCTTTGCCCAACAAGAGCTAATCTGAGAAGCTTTCCTGAGTTGCCCCCTTGGTGGCAAGTAAGGCCAGTAAGGTCTCTGGCGAACTCAACACTGAGGCAGAGACTGACTCTAACCCCCAATCCCTGCTTCCTCTTTTCCTCAGGGGCCCTGGATTGTTTTATGCAAGGAGGGTAGAATCTGTGGAAAGGCCCTGGAGGGAGTGTTGAGCTGGATGGCCTCCTGGCTCTAGGCCAGGCTGGCTTTGTGACAGCTCCAGATGCCTGGGTATCTGAGGAGGAGAAGAGGTTGCCCCTGCCATTCCAGTCAGTAGCCTGTATGAACCAGGTCTGTAAAAGAAAAGGACTTTCTAGAACCAGTAGCCTCTGAGAGATTAGTAAAGCCAATATTTCTCTTTTCTTTGCATTTACTCACCCTAATAGTTTGAGCCCATAATTAGAATTGGGCTTTATTAGGCTAATTAGGAGGTAGGAATGATGGCAGAAGGGCATGTGGAGATGCATCAGGGTGGTGGGCAATAAATCTAGGGTTTTAATAGGTTTGTTCCATAATCAGGTGGTCTGAAAGGCTGACTGGGTGGCTGGGCCCCCTCCCCTCCTCCCTTCCGTCTAGTCCCATCACTCCTTGAAGTGGCCTTCACACTTTGCCGTCCTTGTCCTCGATACTGGCAGCGGCGCTGGGATATGGGGGACTCAGGAGGGAGGGAGGAGACCCCACCCGGAGCTTCATTGCCTATGCACGCGCCGTCCAGCCTGGCGGCATGATTACCTTGCTGAGAAATCCGTCCAGGCGCAGGGCTGCTGATAGCAATCATTGATTAAGAGGGTAATTGTCCTGAAAATTCAGATTGATCAGAAGGCAGAAATGATAACTTGTGTAACTGTGTTTAAAGCCACGTCCTGTCAATAGACGAGACTGAGATGTATCGCGCCAAGAGGGGGGCAGAACGGATGGGTGTGTGCAGGCGGGCAGGCGCTGCCATCCTTCTCTCAGGGCTGAGCAGGATGTTTCTTGTCAGTAACCTGGACTATTGGAGATTCAATCACTTTTATCTCCCCCTCTCTCTCAATCCAAATGCCTTTTCATATTAGGAAATTAGAATCGGCCCTGCTCATGCAAGATTTATTAGCTCTGCTGAGCAGTCACACCAAAGAGTAAATGATTTTGCTTTGCTGGAGCTTTTTACACATTAGGACCCAACTTCTTTCCTGCTCTATGCCACTGGCTGCCTGGAGGAGTGGGCTCTAGAACTAGATACTCTGGGGGTGAGCTTTCGAAGTCTGGTTCAGGGGAAAAGCATCACTGGGACTAGCTTCTTGACCTGCCAGAGACCCTGTTGTGTCTGTCTGACTTCCTTCTATCTGCTCCCCAGACAGGTCCCTTACTGGGGTCTAGGTTGTCCCTCTCAATTGAAGGGGTCAATCCCCCTGAAGGAATGAGGTTCATCCCTCAGAGCTGGGTGACCCGGTGGAGGCTTACCTAGAAGGTTGGTGCTGAGACTGTATATTGAGTAAGGACTGGCAACAGAGGCAGAGGATGGAGGGGCTGCCATGACTTGACTTCTCAGAGCCTGGAATTGTCCTCCTGTCTGGGGTGGGGCTGCAACAGCTAGAGCATCTTTCTGAGCCCCTGGGGAAGTTGTCCAGGAAGTTACCTGGGAGTTTAGAGCTTGGGAGCTGGTTAGAGCAAGTTGAGGGGTGTCTGGGCCTGCTGGCTGGGTATCTAGAGGGCTGCAGGGGGGTTGACTGGCTGAGGCTCTCTGATCTGCCTTTAATGTGGGCTCTTTGGGAAGGAAGGGGCCGAGATCCATGTTTCTGGAATTCTCCTGTGGCCTTAGGCTTGAAAGCAGTATGGACCTGTGTGCCAGCTAAACCTAGCCTGCCCTGGAGATCAGGGTACCAGTGGGCTAGGTTGGTTGTAGGGAGGACCCTTTCTCCTTCACTGAGACTGTATGATTCTGCCTCTTACCCATCTCCTTGGGTCACTTGGACTCATGGACAAATGTTGGTCGCTGTCATTCTTTCACACCCCTCTATTGTAGGTATCTGATCTTGGAGGCCTGGTGGAGCAGGTGAGTGTGGAGAGTCCTGATACAGGGCTGAAGGAAGGTCATAACAGATTTTCTGGTTTTTTTGTGAGAGGGATATGATCCCAAGGACTACACTCTACCCACTTTGCTCTGTTACTTGGCTCTATGAAGCCTCCAGTTCTCTGAGCTTTCAGGTTCTTTCCCCAAACCTAAGGGTTAGAGCTGGAAGTGATGGGGTCCCCAGGAATGAATGGTGGGAGTAGGTAGCAGCCATTTTGATCCAAAAGGAGGGCTGTGTTTTGGGCAGGGGATAGGGGGAGGCTTTTCAGAGAAAAGTAGCTGGCAAGTGTCTGCAAGATATTCCCTAGATAGGACTTGCTTCTAAACAGACCACAAGGCCACCAGCTTTTTACTGAGGCTCTGCTTCTCTCCTCCACCAACCTCTATCCTTGGAGAAGCCTTGACTCTCTTGGACGGCTCCTCCCACTAGGCTGGGTTGGGCAAGACAGGCCTTCCTTCTCTATATGCGCCACCCCACCTCCCACCGTAAGAGTATAGTAAGGGATAGAGTAATCTCTGAGGTGCTTGATGTAAAAAAATTTTTCAGAGAAAACGTATGTGGTATGGACATAAAGTTTTCTATGTAAAAAATTCTGTACAACTTTCTGTACAATATTGATTCTCATCTGGCATATTCTAATCAGGTTTAAGTCAGTGAAGTTTTTGTACTGTTAAAAAAAAACAAACAAACCCTACCTTGTCCCATCTGACGGATTGTGAAGGAAGTGGGTGTGCAGAGCCAAGAGGGTTCCCCCGGCTGGAGTGCCTCTGCCGCTGCCTCTCAGCTAGGCTTGCGGGCTGCCTAGGAATACTTGGCAGTCCAGAGGAAGGGTCAACTCTTGTTCGGCTTAGTCTCCTGCTAGGGATAGTTTGGGCAAAGTCAAGAAAGAATGGAAGTGCCATGGGTAGCTTGGACCTGGGAATAGAGAACTCAGAATTCTGACAGACTCCCAGTGGAGTGAGGGAGACAGATAGTCACTACAGGGTGATGTAGCAAATGGTGTTGCTTTCCAGAGCCCAGAAGAGGGAGTGCCTGAATTCTCCTGGAAAAGCTCAGACGGGCATCCAGAAGGCGGGGGGGGGGGGGGGGGTGGGGGGGGGGGGCGGTGGCTCTTGAACTTGAGTCTGTGAGGAGGATGGGGAGTGTGCTATGGAGACAAGTGTGGGCGAGCTTCTGGGCAGAGAGAACAAGGAGAATCATCACAGATCAGTTGTGTTAGGGCTAGGGCTGGGACCCAGTGGGATTTACTTTCCCAGGCACACTTCTCCATCATAATTTGATGGTATGAGCCACACCTCAGTTTTAGCAAGCCTGAGTGGTGCCTACTTTCACCATCTAGCTGGGCTGCTGGGGGCTAGGGGCCTTGGATTAGACCAGCCAGAGCTTTAGGTCAGAGAGATGTACAGGACAGAGCCTTAGGAAATGGACCCCAGGCCCTCCCTCTGCTCTGTTTCCTCTCCTGGTCAGCCTGACGAGCAAGGCAGGGGGCCAGGCTAAGGCAACAGCTCTGGGGAAGCTTTAGGCCAGCTTGCCCCACCCTTGCTAAACCCATTCCCAGCCCTGCCTGGGCCTAGATCCAGCCCTGCTGCCAGGGGCCCAATTGGTTCCCTGGGCCTGGTAGGGAGGCTGGGAGGAGCCCGGGAAGCCGGGAGACTCATTTTCACTAGAATTTGACCTAAAGCAGGATTGGAAGGGAAGAAAAGAATCTGAACAAAAGTGCAGGCAGGAAGGAGCTGTTAACGAGCCTTTCTTTCTCTTCAGGGACGGAGCGGAGCGCCTAGCGGGGCGCAGCGGCCTGCTCTCCTCAGCGGCTCTCTGAGGTAGCTGTAGTCTCCGGCCGCTGCCTGCTCTCGCTCACTCTCCTTTTTTCCCTCTCCTCTTTCTCGGCTCTCTCTATTATGGGGACTTGCTCCAGCTCTTTCTCTCTCTTCTGTCTCTCCTTTTGTTCTCTCTTTGTCTATTTATCACACTGTGAAGGTTGAAAGAGATGTTATTAATCTGGGAGAATGAAGGCAGGATTAGTGGTATGAATCGGATTTTGAGAGGTGTAATGATAGAAAGACTCGCTCGGCTGGCGGCCTGCGTGAGCTTGATAAATGGGGAGCACTCCAGACTGACTCGCGCCTTCCCCGCGCTGTGCGCCCTGCCCGCTGGGGCGTGCCGCGCTCTCAGATCTGCCAGCCGGCCCACCCCGCTCCTACCTGAACCGGAGCAAAAAGCCAAGGGTAAAGCAGACACAAATATCTCCCATCGCACTTGGAGACATCATTGCTTTTAGCACCCTTTTCAAGTAGAGGCCTGTCGAGTTCTCAAAGGACTGTGGGCAGAGGGAGTGGGGACCCAGACTTCTGCCTGCTTCTAGGGCCTGGAAGAGTAGAGCTCCCCTCCTGCCTCTGAAATGGATGTCAGGGGTCAGGCAGAGACAAGACAGTCTCCAGACCAGTCAAGTAAGAGAACCAGACCCCATGTAATATGTAATTAAGCAAAGTGCTATAGGGAGAACCATAGTATGAACTGTGGAGGTCAGGGTGGGATATGGGGGAGGGAGGAAGAGAAATCAGGATGGACTTCCTGGAAGTGGTGTCCTGGCAGACAGAGTAGGATTTGGAGAGGGTGGAGGAAGGCCAGTGTTTTGGGGGTGAAATAGTGTAAGCAAAGATGTGGGATCAGAAATAAGCCTGACTTTTGTGGGAGGTTCACCTCGGATCCAGTGAATTTCAGATCAGGAAGAGACCTAAGAAGTCAAGTAATTAAGCCCCTCACTTTCCAAAGAGGAAGTCTAGTCCTGGGGACTAGAGTTGCTGGAATCATTTCCTGAAATGATTTCCTATTTAAGCCCTGTTGCTTATTCTAAAGGTGCCCCTTCCATCATCCTGAGATGATACAGTGAGCCTTTCCCTCCTCTGCTCTCTGTACAGCTTTGGTCACATCCTTCCAACCTTCATTTGTGCAGTCAGAAGATCCTGGCTCAAGTTCATTTCTGCTTGGTCTCCGGCCCTTTCCTGGGAGCCTTGGCTCAGGGTCCTCCTCACACTCTGCCCCCAGCCCTAAGTGCAGTGTGTGTGGGAGTGCTTGTCCCAGCCAGCCAGCTGCTGCTTGCGGTGAGGAGAGGACCAGGAGGCAACACACCTAAACTGGGCTCCAGATGCCTTTGGGCCTAAGCACTTTGCTCCTTCGTAACACTACTGCAGTTCTCACTGATCACTTTGTCACAGTGACTGGGCACTTCGTGGCATCTGTATTCATTTCCCTGCAAAGGACTGTGAATTCTTGAGGGCAGAGTATACATGTGATTTAGTTGAGGTGCCAGGGTCTGGCAGGCCTTCAGTGTGTGAGTCTTCAGTGAATAAATGAATAAGTTCAGCTGCTTGTGCAGTTTCTCCCTCTCCTTCCAGGAGAAAATGGTCTTGGTTCTTGATTAGCTTTTTCCAGGCCTGACTGTCCTTAGGAATAGGGAGGGACAGGTGTGCAAAGCAACTAACTTTTGACTTTGGCACAGCACCCTAAGATCACATTGCATGACAGTGGTAGACCCTTGGCTGGCTTCCATCACCTTAGGAAACAATAGTGAAACCCTTTATTGTGTCCCGTGAGGCCCTACGTGGCTGGGCATCTCCTGCCTTCCTCATCAGCCACATCTTACACTGGCCTCCTGTGCTCCAGGGGTACCAAGTGTTTGATTCCTTCCAAGTGCTGTTTACCCTTTGCCTGAAGGCTCTAGCATGCATCATTCCCTACACCCCAAACACCTTCCCCTCCAGTCCATCAGTTCGTGCTTCCCTGTCCTCAGGGAAGTGTTCCCCATCTAGGTCAGGTTCCCATCTTCCATCCTGTCTTAACAGCCTACCTTTCTTTGAGTCCTTACTATAGGTACAGCTTAGTGGTTATTTATGTAGCTGTTTATTTAACATCCACTTTTTCCAACAGACTGTGAAGCTCTCTGAGGATGGTACTGTGTCTGTATTGCTAATGTATGCAAGTGGCCTGGCATATAATAGGCTGTCCGTAAATGTTTGTCACAAGTGAGTCAGTGTGATTGCAGAGCCTGCACTCTTCCATCAAACCACATCCAGGCAGAGTGAAAGTGGCGGTGACAAGTGCGTACGGGGACAGGATGGTGGGTGTGCCCAGAGAGGAGGCTCTTTGGGCGCTGGTTCTGGAGGCTCTAGGGTTTCAGCCTTTCATCTCTCGGCCTTTCTCTTTTCCCTCCACACGTCAAAGAAGAGAGGGCCTCTTCTGACCCTCAGAGCTTTTTTATTCTCTTTCTGGGTGATCTTACCTACTTAGTTTCAAGTGCCACCCATACACATTCTTAGGACTTTCTTGTCTCAGCTTAGACCTCTGACCTGAGCTCCAGGCCCACATGTCCACCTTCTCTAGGCACCCTGCCTTGGATGTCCTACTGAAAGCCACGTCAGTCTTCTAGCTGATTTCCCTCCAGACCTGGTAAGGGTTTCTACCTCAAGGCTCTTGTTGATCTCAGCCCCCACTGCATGTGAGTTTCTGTGAAGCTCCTTGAAGGCAGTGACCTAGTGCACTTGATCTGTGTGTCTCCAACACCTAGCACAGAGCTTGGCACATGGTAATTGCTCAATAAGTGTGTGTTATATGAGCAAGCCGGTGAAGATGGAGGGAGGTCTGGGATGAAGGTTTTGAACACCGTTTTCATTTTTCCCAGGGAGAAAGAAAGCGAAGGTGTATGTGCTATGTGCAAGCAGGCACATGCTTTCGTGTGTGAGGGGTTGGTGGTGGTGGTGGTGGTGTCACATGCTCAGTAAAGGATTATATTTTAATTTGGAAAGCACTTTAGAAACTTAAAGTGCTTGCCTAAGTGCTGACTGCTATTAGTGTCTCCTTTTTATTAGGAAAAAGGACATGATTTTTCTCTTTTATCTTCAGGCCTGTCCAACTTCTGAGAGTCAAACTTAGCAAAATGCCTGCCCCTCACTGAGGACTAGTTACATGCCAAGTTCAAAGCTTTGGACTTGAAACACAGAATTCTGCTTTGCAGACTGGTTCTGACACCCCTGAGGGGATTAGCCCTAACCGCTCGGTATCAGGAGGGGTGGGGGAGGTGGGAGAGACAGGGTCATTTGACATAGTTCAAGCTGCAGTCCCAGGCCCTTCCCCTCTCCATATAGGTCTGGGTGCAAGGACGTAAGAACCCGGACCATTTTGGGGGATGGGGGAACAACCCCAGTCGTTATCAAAAACCCACTTGTCATGCAATATGAAGTGCCAGGCTTCACAGAAAGCATTGGGGAAGAATGGCCCCAGGAGGAACTGGGTTTGTTCAGCTCAGGGATTTTAGAACCAAGAGGCAGCGACATCACAGCTGCCGGACTTGGTGATGTTAAGAGCTGCCGCCACAGAGGGCTAGGTCAGAGAGAGGGAATGTGTGTAGCAGTAGCAAGAGGAATTCTGATCTAGGAGACCATGAGGCAGGAATTTGTCTTGTGCTTTGAAAGCACCTTTGAGAGCCTTGCTGGTTGGAAGGAAAGGTAACACCCCTCCACATGGAGAAGATTTGGTGCTGCAGTGACAGGGGGCCTAGGAGGCCCAGCTAAGCCTTGTCATTGGGCCTCTCTGGGTGGCCTCTACCCCAGGCTCTCTACTGAGCATGTACAAGATGCTCCTGGTCTCAGTCTGACCTGTCTCTGCCATCCCTGGATGCTGAAGGCTCTGCCCGTGGCCAAGGCACTGGGAGGTGGGGGCTTTGGCCCATCACGCTAGTGCCCTGCAGTTCCCAACTCCTAATTGGGCCCTAATCTGGGGAAGGTAGGGTGGGGATGGGGTGAGGGGAGTACATTGAGCCTTCTGCCTTAACTGAATTTCCATACCTCCTGTTGTTAATTATAGAGATGTAATAATGTGATTAGTGCACGATTAAAAAAAATCCCTGATATGATTACCATGGATTTAATATCACATGATATATCATTATATCGTTATGCAGTGACAGATGTAATTGAAATACACTTATTGGAGCCGGGGGTGGTGTTTCATTCAATCCTTAGCACCCCGGGGAGGAAAGGGCTGGCTAAAAAGAAGCAATGGGAGAGGAAATTGTAATGAAAACAAAGAAAACACACAAGTTCGCTCTCACCCTGGGCAGCTGGCTAAGACCTGCTGCCTTCAACTCTGACAGTGCGTGTGGAGCCCCAGAGAGGCCAGCCTCTTCCGTGGGGGCTCAGGCAGCGTGGCTCAGGAGCTCCTTATCTGGTTCTCGCCTCAGAAAGCTCAGTGTCCCCAAGTCCCCTCTGACTCAGCAGTGAAGCAGAGGCTCTGGATTACTCCACCTGAAAATAGACCCGGGACCCTCATGGGATCAAATGGAGTTGGCAGCTGTCCTTCCGATGCCGTGAACCTGGCCTTGGCTGTGGTGTCGGTCCAGCACACTGGAGGCAGCTGTCCTGTTGTGGGCTGTGTGCAGGAAGATTAAGTACAGACACAACAATCATCTCACTCAAGGTCTGTGGATGGATAGAGGCAGCGGCAGCTCTGGGGCCCTAAAGGATGTTGGTAGCCAGGGAACACCATGAACATGCAGAACTACCCACCAGGCGTAGAGAGGATGGGTTTTGTCAGCTGATGTGAGTGTCAGTCCCTTTGCTGTTATAGTTGTGCTGGCCACGCCTCTGCTGGGCCACAGGAACGGAGTGGGAGCTACCCATATGGCCAGAGAGCTCAGAAAAAGAAGGGGGACAGGAACAGCCTCCCCTTCTCTCCTAACATAGGATGCTGAGCGCCCAGTTCTAAGGTTGACTGTTGGGGGGGATTCCTGGTCTGCTGGGCAAGAACAGCAGTGGTTCTTGAAGGAGACTGGATAGGGTCAACAGGAGCAGCAACTCTGAAAACCAGGCTTTCCTGCGTGGCAAAATTAGGCCCAAAGAGACGTCTTATTTTCCCTTCCCTTAACGGAGACCATTTAGAGAAACAGTGATACAGCCCTTGCCCTTAAAAATCTCCCAGTGTCGGGCGCCTGGGTGGCTCAGTTGGTTAAGCCACTGCCTTCGGCTCAGGTCATGATCCTGGAGTCCCGGGATCGAGTCCCGCATCGGGCTCCCTGCTCGGCAGGGAGTCTGCTTCTCCCTCTGATCTTCTCCCCTCTCATGTGTGCTCTTTCTCTCAAATAAATAAAATCTTTAAAAAAAAAAAAAATCTCCCAGTGTCGTCGTGGGGTAACAGTTATGTAAACAAATCTGGTGTTACGGATGCTGTTCAGAGTATGATTGGGTTTAAAGAAGGGACGAGTCAAGGAAGACTTGATAAAGGAAGGTACTTTGAGTTAGTGGTGAAAGAAGAGTACGTGTTCGTTAGGACAGTGGGAGAAGGCCGAGGGCATTCTAGGCAGGCTGAAGGAACTGCTCAAGTCAAGTCTTGGAGGCATGAAACAGCACTCCCAGGACTCGGGGCAGTAAGGAAGAAGAAGAAGACACAGTTGACCCCACATTTCTATAGACCACAGAGATGATAATGGCTTTCACTGGGATTTGGGAACCCAAGAGAAGGGTAACTTGGGGGAGGAGATGTTGAGGCGTGTTTTTTTGGTTTGGGTTTTTTTTGTTGGTTTGTTTGTTTTAATGTTTGAGAATGATGTACCCGGGTGAAATCCAGGTGGAAATGTCAGGTAGGCAATAGAATATATGTGGTTAATACTCAAGTAGTGGCAAAGAGTATCGATTCGGAAGTTGGAGAGGTGGAAGACAGGAAGTTGAAAAAGTCACCCAGGGAGAGTGGTAGAGTGTAGACAAAGACAGGAAGTGAGGGCACCTGAGCGCATGAGGAGGAGGATGGTCTGCACGAAGAAGGGACTACAGGGAGATTATGAGGAAAGTGGCAGATCAGAGAGATAGGAGAACGCAAAGAGAACCAAAGGAGAAGAGTGTGAAAGCTGAAGCAGGCACAGAGAGGCAGAGACAGCAAAGCTCTGACACTGTCCCTAGGTGTGGGCAGCGTGGTGAGGACCATTGGCTTTAGCAGGAGCTAAATGTCGGTCAGGCCAGAAGCCAGACTGCAGGGGTTCAGGAGCAATGTGGGAGGTGAGTAGAGGCAAGGGGAGACAACCTTGAGAAGTTTGGCTGTTAACAGGAAAACAAGTCAGTCACCAGATGGGGATATGGAGTGAATGGAGGGCTTTAAAAATAATAATCTAATACTGACATAACTTTCAGAGGGCCGGCTATTGTTTTAAACAGTTTACACACAATAATTCATTTAATCCTCACATCAGCTCTGGGGTAGGAACTGTTATTACCCCCATTTTACAAAGAGGAACCTGAGGCCCAAGAAGTTGTGTAAAGTTGATAGAGATTCAAACATTTGCTAAAATGCTAGTGGAAAGGAGCCAGCAGAGAGGGGGAGGTTAAGGATTTAGAAAAAAAGGGGATCCCAGGTGGAGCAGGACTAAGCAGGCAGGAGAAGGGTGAGATGTTGAGCACAAGTACGGGATTGGCCTTAGACAAGAAGTGAGGTGTCGGTGTCCCTTGTGTTGGAACAGCGCTGGTGAAGGTACAGATGCAGGGAAGGATACAGATGCATTAGTAGACAAGGGGCATGCAGTTGAAAGAGTTCTGTGCCACAGCTTTTATTAGATTTGTGAAAGTCAGAGAAGAGTCGGATTGTTGCATACCACTGAGAATTGCTCAGGTTGTGATCTTGTACCCATAGTGGCCACTTTTGATGCATCAGAGTGACTTTCCAGCATCACTTAGCTCAGGTGCAAGTGTGGAGAAATGGAGTCACCATTGGGTTTTTTCAGGGAAGGTGTACCTAGGGTAAGCGGGCAGGGGTTTGAAGACTGGGGAATGGGTGCTTGACGTGATAGATCCCAGGGCTCCAGGCCTGGTAGACAAAGGATCGAGACCAGAAGGGGTTGGACAGACTGGGAAAAGAGCAAGAGTAGAGGGTACAGAAGCTGGGAGGAGAGGAGACTGGCGTCAGAGTGGAATCTGTCATTGTAAGATTGCTTAGGGAGAGCAGTTCTGGGTGATAACAAGGCCCCGGGTGTGGCCGTAAGGATGGATGGGTGAAATAGGTAGAGGAGAAGGTCGTTAGAGCCCAGGAAGTTGAGAAACTGAAAGGCAGGCAAGGTTCATGGGTGGGCTGTCCTGTAGATACTGAAGTTACCTGGTGGATGATGACCTGGAATAGAGTCCCAGAGGGAGGGGAGGAATAGTCTCAAAGCAGCAAGAAGTTGAAGGTATTGGCAGAGTGTATCCAGAAGTGAGTAGGTATTGGTTTTCTAGTTAGTATTGCTGCATAATTAGTCACCCCCAAATTTAGTGACTTAACACGACAGCAGCTATCTTACTGTATCTCAAGGTTTCTGTGGGTCAGGAATTTAGGAAGGGCTCAGGAAGGTGGTTCTGACTCAGCTTCTCTCAGGCATTTGTAGTTAGTCCTTGGAGCTGGCACAGGGTGTGACTGGGTCAGCTGGGGGCTGGCTGGGCATCTCTCTTTCTTTGCCTAGTCTCCTGGCTTCTGTACGTGGTCTCTGCACAGACTAGTTTGGGCTTCCTCACAAGATGGCTGCCCGGGAGCAATCTGGCTACTTACAGAGCCACTCAGGGCCCCAAGGCAAGTGTTCAGTGAATGAGGAGGAAGCTGCCTCCTGTATTTCTGAACTTGCCTTGAAGTCCCATAGCATTACTTCTGTGTTACTCTGTTAGTTGAAATAGTTGCAAAAGCCAACGCTGTTTCCAAGAGAGGGACATAGACTCCCTCTCTTGATAACAGGGGTGTCAAAGTCACATTGTAAGAAGAGCATGGGAGATGGTGTTGCAGCCATCCCCGGAAAACACAGTCGGCCACAACTGGTTGCTAGGCTGAGCCCAGAAAAGGGAGAGGGAGCAGCTTTCTCAAAGGCAATACGCATTTTGGGTGACGGCATCAAGAATATCTGGAGGGTGCAGTGGGAGTGGACCCGAGTGACCTCAGGTATACCCGGAGAAAGAACTGTCATCCCATGTTGTGGTGTAGGAGACTGAGGCTCAGAGACGTTTGATAACTCCTCCCAAGTGACAGTGCTAATAACTGGCAGAACTGGGAACCAAATTCATGTTTGTCTGACTCCTGAGCTGGACCACACTGCCTTTCTCTGGGCTGCTGGGTCTGCCATCCTCATGTTTACCTCTGTCTTTGGTACTTGGCTCACCAGCTATAGAAGTGTTGGCCAATTAGATAAGGAATTAAGTAGTAGTTATGTCTGTCAGGCTTTCTGTCCCCCCCCCCCCGAATCCTCCGGAGTATCACCCTTACAGCTTCATCTGTTGGGTGTTTGTGGGAATGGCAGGTGATTTGATTTATTTCCTCATCTTGGGAAATGACCCATCAGCCTTAGGTCCACCAAGTGACATGTCACCCAGAGGTCTGGTTAAAGGCCTCCTCTTCCCCACCTCATGAGGAAGCTGGATAGGTCCAGTGTGCTGGTTCCAGCTTGGAAGCTCTGGGTTTTCTGGAAGTTACAGAGCAGTCTGTGCTTGTGTGTGGAGTCTGAGCTGGGTTCTAACCCCATCCACTACCCTGCCCACTCCGTGGCCACCCCACCCTCAGGGCCCTGGCAGGTAGTGAATGGGTGGGCCGAGACACCCTAGCAGCCATCGATGCCTCTTCCTTCCTCTTTGAAGGATCTGACGCTGCTGCCGAGGAGGGCTACTTCATCTATTAAACCCAATACACTTGTCGCAGCTGCTAAGCCCCCGTAAGCCGCCGGGCGCCGTGTTTGTGATGGGACTGACAGTGCATGGAGGAGGCTGATTATACACGATTCCATTTCGCGGGCCCAGCAATGTAATTTCACAGGGCGATCAGCGTTTGCATGTAATAGCAGGCTGTGCTGAGGTGTCAGAATATTAAAGGCGCTAATGGCAAAGCTCCCTGTTACACAGGGGGCCACCCGCCGCGCCTACAGCAGGGCTGCGCGGCAGGCCCGTCGCAGATGGCTGGCCACTAAGCTAATGGGGCAGCAGCCAAGGCGGGCAGAGCCACGAGAGAGAAGAGCCAGCCGGGAGTGGCTCGGCACCTGCTTCCCCGCGCATGGAAATTACAGCAGCCCAGGGGAAGGGAAGTGTGCGTGCCTGCCTGGCACAGGGCTGCGGTGGGGTGGTTTGGTAGACCCAGCATCTTTCACCCCAACTCCACCCCCCCAACTCTTTCGCCAGGAAGCCACTGCTGGGGGAGAGGGCGTGGGCCCTGGTGGCTAGGAGAGGTGCAGCTGGAGAAGTGGCACCCCAGGAATTTGGAAGCAGTGTGGGAAGGGGGCTTTTGGGCACAGGCTCTTGGCAAGAACTCTTAAAACAGATTCCTGCCCCGCGCTGATTGAGGTCAGAAAATTCCAAGGTCCCTTACCCCCACACCCTGCAGGCTGGCAAGAGAGAGGGAGGGAGCAGGGAAAGGAAGCAGGCGGGAGAACAGGGATGGACAATAATTAGGTCCCTTGATTGATGCCAGTGTTGCCATTGGTACACAGAGCTGGGAGCCAGCACCTCAAGATAGGGCTCTTTCCGTCCTTGTGGGCTGCCCCAGCCCCACCCAAGCCCTTTCCTGTGCTCTCACCAAGCTTGCTCCTGCCGTTCTCCTTTGTCCTTACTATGTCTCCTGCCTGGACTGTTGTCAAATCCCCGCCCAGCCCTCCACTACCACTCCCTCCAGGAAGCTTTCCTAGCTGCCTCCAATGTCCCACAGGCCTGTTTCTCTCCACTGTCCCTGTGGGCAGCCACAGGGGACAGCCTCCCTGATCTTCCTGTTCTGCTGGTTCCCTAGTCTGAGCCTTGACTTCTCAGCCAGAATCTCTGAGACACAGCCCACATCACCTTGTCCTGAGCGGGGCTCCTGGGAAGGCTCTACTCAGATTCATAGACGGATGTTATCTTATGGGGGACGTCTGGAGGGCGTGGGGAGTGGAAGGATGCGCCGAGTAACCTAGGGAGAGTCTGGTGCCTGTGTGGGTGTGCACACTTGATGGTGTATGTATCTGGCAGGGAGGGACTTTAGAAGTGAGTGCTGGGGGTGGTGGGCATGTGGGTACAGGCGTAGAGGGGTAGCAGGTGTGAGGATCCAGACCACACATTGGTAAGAACACAGATTGCTGTAGGACCCTGTGTTCTCTGGGTGGCTTTCTGCGTCTGCTGGCGGTGACTGAGGGGTTCCTCAGATGGCAGGAGTTGGAGGGAGCTTGTGGGACTGTGCCCCGAGGCTGGTGGTCACTTCTGAAGGTTCAGCTCTGCAGGGGTGTGTGACAGTACCTGGGGGAGACATGCCAGGGTTCTCAGCAGGGGCAGCAGGGGGAGAGACCAGGCTGAAGGAGAGCAGTTTTAATTAACCGTTTTTAATATCATTTTGGACTTTGGCTGGTATGTGAAGGCCCCGCTGGAAGCAGCATTTGTAAAAATTAAATCCCTCTTATTAGGAGCTTGGCAGACCCATGTGCACGTGCTGCCCCCTTCCCCCCGCCTGTGCCCCCCTGAGGAAGTGCTGGATGAGGCCATGTCATGGCAGCAATTGGTTATCATGCCTTATCTGGGAATATGAAACTGTGCGCATGACACCCGCGGCCACGCTGGAGACGCCAATTCATCTCGCCCTCGCTCTGACAAGCTAGACTGCCCTTCCTGAAAGGCATCCGTCAGGCGGGACCGGGGCCGCTGCCTTGCCTGTTTCCTCTGCTTTCCCGCCTGGGTTCCGGCTTGCTCTGTTCCAGCCAGGCCCAGCCTGGCCCTCCTGGGCGCTGCCACCCTCCACCCCCCTTCCACATGTCCCAGTCTAGGGAAGATCTTGGGGAGTCATAATTATAATAATAATCTAATCACGGTGACTCATCGGGGCAAGCGTCTAATGTTATCTGAAGTGGTCTTCCCGCTTAGCTGCGATAAGACTCAGGATGACGTGCAGATAACGTTGAGCTGCCCTGTCCCCAAGCCACGAGCAGAGCAGAGGGGCCTCAGCAGCCCGCTGCCCGCCCGCCGCTTTAAGCCGGGAAGCGGCAGCACCTGCTAATGCAAGTGTTTAATATTTGATGGGCTGGGATAAAGCAGGATCACCTTCGAATTGAATTGAGTGTCAGCCGAGAATCTATTACTGAAATTCGGGTGTGATTTGACAGCAAAGTAGACGATGTTATTCTTCACTAGTTACTGCAATCTTCTCCCCGACATCACTTAAATATTTTTTTCTTTGCTTGAGTAAACACACATTATCCTTCTTTTTTCCCCCTTCCTTCCCTTTTTCCTTTTTAGAGGGGAAAAAAACCCATCCAGCTCGCCTTCTCCAGGCTGATAGGGTAGATTGTTATTTCTTTATTTGTCCTATTAAATGGAATTTCTGATCGTTTAATCCGGCCTTTGTAAGTGATTTTAAAGTACTTGAAAGCCGGCCCGCCACTGCTCTCTGGCCCACTGCGCTCCAGCCATGGCCCTGACCACGCTCAGCAGCTCATCCAGCTGTGCACCACCCACTGGCTACTTTCCCTTGCTGCCTGCACTCCCCCAGCTCTGCCCTGGCTGCAAGCCAGCGTTCTTTCCCCTGCCCTTGAGCCTCACACCCAGCCACCAATTTGTGGGTCCAGCTGTGGCCTGGGAAAGTGTGGGAAGGTTGGCTGGGACGTTGAGTTGTGGCTGGTATCGTCTGTGGTCAAGGAAAGCGGCTCGGGAGGGTGCTAAGATTGAAGGACCCGCAGAGCCAGGGCTTGGTTCCTGCAGCTGGGAAGGAAGGGTACTAGCCCCTTGGCCTCAGCACAGACTCTGTGTCCAGCCTCATGTCTTTGGTTTCTGACCTGGTGTTAGGACCTCCCCGCTGTGAGGGAGTCTCCAGTGGGATGGGGACCTCCAGGCCAGGGCATGGCTGGGGGCACTGCAGTGCCTGTCTGAACGTGGCTGCAGCCACCTTAGTTCCCCCGCATTCCCCTCCCCACCTAGCTTCTGGGAACTCCCCCGAGCTACATTCCTAGTGACCGTATCCCGTATGCTTCCTGCCACTGGGAGCAGGGCAGCCTGGGGTTCCAAGACTTCAAAGGTGAGGCGATGGGAAATGTCTGAAGGGCCAGCCAGCTACACAAGCCCCTGGTAGAAGCCCAGGACTTTGCTAGCAGGTGGAGCAGGAATTCAGTTCCCACTGGGCCACTTGATAGCATTCTAACCCTTGTAATTCTCTTCTTTCTGGGCCTCAGTTTCCTCATCTGTGATGTCAAGTCAGTTGTGCCTGTAAGGGATTGTGAAAGAAAAGTACTATCCCTGGTCCTGCCATGTACCGCCCCCCACCATGGAGGTTGGTGGCGGCCAGGTGGCGCGAGTAGCAGATGGAGGGGAGCAATGAAGTGCTAGGGGTCTGAGCAGATCGATGCCCCCAGCACTTCCTTCCCCAACCCCAGGAAAACAATTAAGTACAGATCGATGGGTGGCCGCTTTGAATATGCATAAGTGAGTACTTGACCTTCAGCAGAGATCTGTTCCCCCTAACACACACACACACACACACACACACACACACACACACACACACACACATTCTTTTTATGTGTTCCCTTCACAGCTGCTTGAGTCAACCAGGTGACCTTACTCCTCCTCAGTTGAGCCCACGCATGGCACTCAGCCTTCCACAGCCTGACCTGCCTCTTGGTCTAAAGCAAGTAGACCAAGGGCCTGTGGTTGGCCCCCTCTTGCTTCAGTTTTCCTATCTATAGAGTGAAGTTTGGATATGTTGGTCTCCAAGTCCTTCCCGACACCAGGCTTTATGACCAGCAATACTGTGGGGAGGGGCCCAGCACAGTGCTGGGTACACTGAGGGAGGGGTATCTAACAGGGCTGCCTGGTGAAGGGGGTGCCCTGATGACAGGATGGTCCTGAGAAAGAGGATCTTAATAAATGGGAGCTCTCTAGAGGAGCCTGACAAGGGGGCACCTGTTGGGGGCTGGAGGTCTCTGATGGGGAGATGCCTAAGATAAAAGGAGCTCTGAAAGAAGAAGGGATTTTCTGGTGGGGGCCCTGGTAGAAAGGGGACCCAGTGAGGGGACTCTCATGAAGTGACATAATGAGAGTAAGCCCTTACTGGCAAGATTTGGCTGGAGGGTGGAGGTGGTGAGTATTGGGGGTCAGGGCCTCTGTTAACCATTCTTGCCTCCTGTCTTCCAGGCTTACAGCTTCGCCATGGGCTGCTGGCCCAAGAATGGACTTCTAGACATGAACAAGGGCCTCAGCCTGCAACACATAGGCCGGCCCCACAGCGGCATTGGTCAGTCCCTCCACATATACCCCCTGGCAGCTCAGTCAGCCCCCTGCCCGCATGCCCCAGTCCCCTGGCACACAGAGGGGTTCTGTGGCTCTATGCTCTAACGGGGTGCTTTCCATAGGTGGGGGGAGTGGGGAAGGAGGGTGGCATAGGGGAGAGTGGAACCAGACCATTGGAAGAGATCTCTCAAAACACTGTTTAGAATAAGACTGGGGTCTGGGCTTTGGGTGGGTCACAGGTGGCCTTGGATTCAGGCCAAGATACCCCCAACCCTGCCTGCATCTCTGGTGGGTGATGTCCTCAGAGGGGTGGGCATATGTCAGCTTACCCACCCCCATGGAGCTAGAAGAGGCTGTTTAATATTGTTTCAAGTCTGTGGCTACTAAACTGGGCGATCAATGGGAGTTAAGGAGATGAATTATTTAAACCTCACCAGCTTTTAATTAGTCGGGGTCCTTCTGACCGATGGCTCCGTCCACAGGGTATTGACTCCCCCGCAGGAGGAGCAGCCTCCATTGAGCGGTGCCGGGGTTGGGAGGGGCCACTTGGGGTACCAGGTGGGGGTGCACCCTCAGAGGGATCCCTGCGTGGGAGGGGGATGGAGTGGCTGTGGTTCTAGGCATTGGAAGCTCTGCTAACTTCAGATATATCAGTATTGGGGGGCGTGTGTGTGTGAGTGAGTGAGTGTAACAATATATCTGGGTTGATTTTCCTGAGGGCATTTGTCTTTATATGGAAGCAACCATCAGCCTGTGTGTGTATCCACCAGAAAGTGTGTCTGTTAATTTCTGTGTATCTGATTTTCTGTGTGTGAGCACACGTCATGCAAATGCTTTCAAGTGGGGTACTTGACAAGCATAGGCTTTGTTCCAAGTGGGGAGGAGCGGGGAGGGGGGTTATTCCTGGGAAGTAGTATGACATTATCATAACCTGTGTACCTTTGGGGAGCTATGGCGGCAGAGGGACCGGCAGGATACACCAAAAGGACCCAGTCACCTGTCACAGACTAGCCCTTCATCCTTTCCACAGAGATCACTGGTGCCTAGTGGGTGCTGGGCGTGCTGGGTGGAGATTCTTGTCCTCAAGGAGGTGACATCCTAGGACAAGATAGAGACTGAACCGGGTCCCCAGGGTACTAAGGGCCGCGATAGGAACACCTAGGCTGCCCCAAGGGAGGATTTTCCTGTCCTCAGGTGCCACAGTGACTTCTGCTTCTTTATTTACATCTCACTGACCTCAGGGATGCCCTGTATCCTTCTTGTTGGGACACCCCAAGGCTCTTCTGGGGCCTGGCAGGTGGGGGGAGAGGAAGCAAGTCAACAGGTCTAAGGAATTGGGGGTGCCCCACAACAACTGTTGCCTTCCATAGGAGCTAGTCCATACAACCTAGAGGAGACCCCAAGCCTAGCAAGCTGATCTGCTTGGAAGCTCAGCAGGGAGTTTCCTAGAGAAGAAAGACACTTGAGTCAGGAGATTCTTGAAGGATGAGTAGGAGTTCGCTAGGTAGAAAAATGAGGGAAGGGTTTTCTACTTAAGGGCAGCTGTGCGTACAAAAGCACAAGGGCACACTGAAGACAACTTAGACACCTACACGTAGTTTGCTGTGACTGGAGTGGGAGGGACACTTGGGTCAGAGAACAGCTAGAAAAAAAATGGGGAAATAAGTGGGTCTTGAATGCCAGTTAAAGGGTTGGCTCTTTGGTGAGGTTCTGAGGAGATAGGAGGTTTGTGACTGAGAGGACAGTACTCTCAGAGCTCCTGCTCAGAACTGACGGGGCAGGGCGCACTGCACATGCTGGTTCTTAATAGATGCTTAGTAAACACTTTGGGGGGGGGCACTGAATGAATGAGTAGATGAATCAGTGACAGAGGGATGGGAAAGGGAGGGACCAGACAGTGAGGATCAATGAGAGGACTTGCACTGGCCCAGGCGGGCAGGGGCTGCCAGTAGTTGAGTCTGGCTGCTAGAGGGACCAGCGGGGCTGGGTTGGCCTTGAGCTGGGTCCCCTGTGTCTGTGGATGCGTCCCAGGGTGTGTTCGTGAGAGGAAGAGGTTCCTTCTTCCCTCTGTTAGGACTCCTGAGGTGTTCCCTCCCTCTCCAGGGAAGAAGGTTTTTCCATCTGGCCAGGCCACAGGGGACAGTCCAAGGTTACAAGTGACAATGGAGTAAGGGCTTTGGAGCCAGAGGAAGTTCTGGCTCTACCACCCAGAGCCCTGTGACCTCAGACAAGAGACAGTGCCAGTGCCTCTCAGGGCTGTTGGGGAGGTTCAGTGAAGCTGCTCGTGTAAAGGGCTTATGCAGTGCCTGGCCTGGCACACAGTAGGTGCTCAGGCAGCCCCCTCCTCTGTGGCCCTGCCAACACCATGGCCTCCCCAGGGCACTGGGGGTTCCTGGCACTGGGTCTTTGTATCTTTGGATGCAGAGGGCTGCCCTGCCCGCTCCCAGCTGGCTCTGAGGTGTGGGTGAGGGTGTTTGGAGGGGAGGGAGGATGCAGGGCATTAATTGGGCTGGGAGAGGCAGGGAGGGGAGGCGTTGGTTTTGAGCAGTGAGGTTAATGGCCCTCGCGCCAAAGAGACAGCTTTAATGAGCTTCAGCTGGCGGTGCCCCGAGTTACTGTGCGTGCTAAAAGGGTCGCGCTGTAAGAGTTTGATGTGGACTGTTTCCCAGCCCTGGGGTCAAGGGTCAGCTCCTGTCACTGGCCACTCAGGCTGGTCCTCAGTGACATAGTGCTAATTAACTGCGTGAGGAGCTGCCAGCCTGAAGTGGGGAGTGGTGTGCATATTGGTGGGGGGGCAGCATTGGTGATGCTGGGCAAGGGTTCTGCAGATTCCACAGCTTAGCCATCTCTGGGACCCGCTTGGCTCTCCCACAGTGCCAGGGAGGGGGCTAGGCAGTGGCTCTGTGCGCAAATCACTGATGATCCTAGGCCCTATAGAGATCTCCTGAGTCTCTTTCTAAGGTATGGGTGGGAGGGGGAGTGTGTGGGGCCTACCTGGTGGGGACTCCTGCTGAGCACCGGGTGTGGTGGCCCTGAGAGAGCAAGGGGCAGGCATGCTGGAGGGCTGGGAGGTAGGCTGTGGAAAGGGAGAGGGCCCGCTGGGATGGATGTGCATGGCTGAACTGTTGCAGGGGAGCTGGGGGCGGGGTGGGCAGATCCTGGCAGAGCGGTAACCTGGTCAGAGTTGGGCTTCAATTTGAGCCATCTGAGAGTTTATACAGGGAGGACTAGCAAGGAGAAACTGCAGAAGGGGCAGCTCAGCAAGGAGCACGGAGGCGGCGGTTAATTCAGAGCCAGCAGTGGCCCTGGGAATGGAGGCAGAGGACCAGTCAGTGAATGTTTACCTTACACCTGCTATGTGTCAGGAGCCGTGACAGGTGTACTGGTAAAGATGACAGAGTGCCCTGCCCCCACAGAACTCAGGTACAGTCGTCAGCACAGGTACAGTTGGCCCTGGCAGCTAAGGGAGAGGTAGGTTCAGGAAGGGAGGCGGTGGAGCTCCGGGCAGAAAAGGGGTGTTTGGGGGCTGTCGGCATGCCCTCTTAGTCAGGAGAGGGACACTTCGTTCTGAGGTGGTGGATTTGACCTTGCAAGCCCAGTGAACAGGGTGGTGTGGAGCGGGCTATGGGTGAAGAGGGACCGCATGTACGTGGGACTGCTGACGGGCAGCAGTCAGCGTACTCCATCTGCATCCTTGCCATGGACCAACGGCTTTGAGGCAGGGCAGCCTCCACGGGGGACTTCGGAGTGCTGTATGGTGCTTCTTGTGTTTCTGCAGAGGGTCAGCATGTATTTGGGGGTACTTTTTATTAACTAATGTAATTTTCACACCAGTTTTATGGAAGGCAGGCATTATCATTCCCATTTTATAGACTAGGAAGCTGAGACTCAGTTAAGTGACTTGCCTGAGGTCACACAGCCAGGTAAATTGAAGAATCAGGACTCAAACCCAGGTCCGTGTGAGTGCAGAGTCTATGTTCTTACCGCTGTGCTGAACTAGGAAGCACCTTTTTGGTGTCGGGCTTTGTGCTACCAACAGAGACAATGAGGAAGAACACAAGCTCACTTCCCTCATTTCCCTCAGTTAGTGTGAAACATACAGGCCTTGACAAAGCCTTGTTGAGGAAGAAAGCCTGCTACAGTCGCCCTCAGAGCCAGAGCCCGGCAACTCTCGGCTTCTGACCTCCTTCTGGCTCTGATAGTTCTCTGATCTGTTTGCTCTCCACCTCATTGACCAGGAAAATCCTGCCCGTTTTCCAGGGGCCACCTCTTCTGGGAATCTTGCCTGGACTTCCCAGTGTGCATGTACAAAATACATCCTTGGACCCCACTTACAGTTTGTTGGTGGTGATGTTCAGGCCCTCCATACTTGATCTAACAGCAGGACCCAGAAATCTGCACAGGAAATGTCAGTAAAATCTCACCTGTTGTTTGGACATGGAGGCCCCACAGACTGCTGATTTCAGCTAGCTGGGAGAATTAACTGGAACCTTCCCTGATGCCCAGCTGGGTGGTCCTTCCCTGGTTTCTTAGCCCCTCTGCTCAGGGCCTGAGGAGGGTCCCTCTGAGGCTCATGGTAAGGAGGGATGGCCAGACACCAAGTGGACTCTCAGGAGCTTGTTACCCAGCATAGTTTGGCAAAAAGAGCTGGGCTGGCAGGAGGCAAGGTGGGGGCCTGGCCCCAGGGGGGCAGTACTGGCCTGTGGTCTCCCCTGAAGGAGTAGGGTGTCTATCAAGAGTCCAGTCAGAGCGCATTAGCTCTGTGACACGGATCTCATTAGCTCCCGTGAGAGGTGTCACTGCAGGAGAATCGTCGGCTCAGGGAGATGCTTGTACCAAAAGGAAGAAAGGACAGTGACAGCCTTTTCTCTGCCGCCTCTGCCGCCACGCTCCCTGGGCTGCCCGCCCTCCTCCTCGTGGGGGGGGTGGGGGTGCTGGCTAATGAGCTCGTCCACAGTACAGCTTTGCCTTCCCCTCCTTGAAGTTCCCCAGGTCCCTCTGAAG